GTTTTGTTGTGGGTCTGTCGGTTATCTTGCTCTTCAAATTCGTCAGCTGTTTTTTGGGTCATTCCCCAATGCCTCCCACGCTTGGAACGGCGAGAGGATCAGCGTGTTGACTCTTGCGGAGGCCTTTGACTCTTGGACCGTTGATTGAAATCCAAGCGCGCATCCCTAATGAATGGTTGCGAAGCTGACCGGCTGTCGCGCGATCCCTTTCATGAGCGGCAGGGTTGTGATCCTCGCTGTGAGTTAGTGAGTTCGCGTTGGGACGAGCAGCTACATAGGCAAACGAACGAGCGGGTCACTGAGGGGTAAGCGGGGCTGATTGTGCGAGTTGCTTTGATAGAACTCGGGAGTATACGACGGAATTCCGGCTGACGCCGAGCTAACAACTGATCAAACTCACAAAAGTAATAGGACGCTCCCTAATTGATCAACTCGCCCACTCTCGAGGATATTGAGGAACTCAGTCTACGGAAGGACTACGCACTGTTAGCGTGACAGACTATTGCCGCTATGCTCAATATCTCGCTCGAGCTTCGAACGATCCACTAGTCTTCTCATTCAGAGGAGACTCAGCTGCATGATTATTTTTTTCCTCCGATCGATGTCCTGATGGATAAAATCAGACAGCATGGGATCGTCGTCACTTTCATCCAAGGTGAGCCAGGGAACAACAACAACGGCCTCCGTCGGCGAGGTGGCTCTGATGGCTCGGATATCTCCCGCGTCGGAAGCTCGGGGGCGAGCGGCGATAATATCTCAAAGAGCTGTCAAAGGCTAGTTTAGAAGCCAGATCACGCCTACCATAAAGCAAATACCTCCCGGATATGCGAGCACACGTTTGTGTCATTGCCTTCCTGTTTGTTGTCTGTCTGCACGCAGGCACGGAACTCGCTGAAAAACGAGCGTTGTCCGAAAAGCCCTTCTCCCGGAGCGAGGAGTTAATAAATCAATTCACGAGGGTCGTCATCGTCGCGCTTCGGCCGCAGCCCTTAATGCTGTATCGTCGTTTCTTTTTTGCCGTCTCTTCCGTCACTTCGCCCCCGACAAAGTCGTCCGCCCGTCCATCCAGCGACAGCGGCTGCTTCCTCTCTCTATTTTCAGTGCAGGAACGACATCATTGTTATCGCTTCCGTTGCAGTCCGGTTGTAAATTTTGGCGAGTTTCTCCCTTTTTCATCTTCAACCACTCTGGAAAGAAATGGGCCGACCGACTATTCGTTCGCAGGGGCTGCCCGGTTCACTGACTGGGCTTCGACGATAAGCGCACCGCTTGCAGGTCGCTATCCGCCGCCACTGTCGTCGAGGAAAAACACAAGGAGATAGCTGTTTGTGAATGCAGAGACCCGGCGGAAAAAAAGAAGGATCCGGTCGCCGAAGCGTCCTGTATGGCAGTCGGCACCGGAGCCGACGTCGTCAAAGACCGGCCCCACTCCGTCCCGCGAAATGGAGTCTACTGCTTGATGGTCTATAAGGATTGGGAAACAGGCTACTTTCGCTATAGTCAATGAGAAGGGGAAGGGGGAGCATCGAGACCGTCCACCGAGCAAGCGAGCAGGCAAGCGGAGAGACCCGGCCAGCCAACGAACGGAGAGCCCAACGAAAAGAGAAAACCGGACCGATAAAGCACAACTAGCACTTTGTGCCTGAAGAGGGTAATACATACACCGGGGGCTTACAGCGGCAGCTGCCACCGAAGTCTCTCAATGCATAGCTGCTTCGATACGGAATCTCGAGATAAGACCCCTCGTTAGTGGAAATGGGGCCCTCAGGGAACCTCGGGACATCTTTTCCAATGTGGAACATATCTCGGGAGGTTACAGTGGAGGCGAGACCGAAACCGTCCCGGTCGAGGATGCATCGGCGGTAGCAGCAGCCGCATGATCAGAAGGGAGAAGCGTCGGAGATACGCTCACTTTGAGGAGAACGGGTAAGTTCGCGATGTCGAGGGACAGAACCAACCTTCACTTGGAAATGCACGCACGGAAGATTCGGTACAGGTATCGAGAAGTCGAGAACAGTATCATAAATTATAAGTCACGAGTACGTAACTGGGAGACTCGTCCCAGCGAGGGATTATTATTGATCAGGTTGCGGTTTGCGTCGGAGGAACGATGCGCCTCTCTAGACCTCCGCCCGGGAAAGACTCCACCCGATCTCGGACATACCATGCCTTCTATATAGGGGAACCTCAAGAAATGAAGTTCTCCGGGAATCTGGTGTTGCGGTCCAGCTATCCGTCGATACGAGGCGGTTCTCATACGGAGATGTCGAAGGTAAGCCGGTTCCCTTGGAGCGCGGCCGGAGGTCCCGCAGTGAATATGATGAAAAAGAAGCAGAAGATGATCATCGTGCTTAACTGCCACCGGAAAAATATCTCTCCATCCCAGATTGGGGTCTCGCGGCATTTTTCGCTCGACAATCCTAGACACTCTTCCCTCACAGCCTCACAGCTGTTCCTGACGGATGACGATCGTCAGAAAGGTCAGCGTTGGCTTCGAACTCTTCGGATGAAGAATCGGAACACACCGTTCCAGGGAGCGCCACTGAGAAAAGGCACTGTCTGAGCTGCTTTGCATCTGAATACTAAACTCCACGAGCTCGCTCTCCTGAGACGACAGCGCGACAGACCCGACGCCAAGACCCCGAAAGGGTGCGGATAGCGAACTGAAGGAGGCATTGTTCTAATTCGGGTTCTCGACGAAGAATAGAAACTTCGATCAGACGTGAGCTTCCCGGCTTCTGAAACCGCTTCGGAGATGACGGCGTCTTCATCTCAATACCCCCTACATGTGGCCCCTTCGTGGTGCTTTTCGACCCCGGTCACAAGTGTTCTCGAGTTTAGGGATAGGAATCCGATCCTGGGAACCTATGTTGGGAAGGAAATCCGGTCGCGTTCCGACAATACGCCGCGTGATGAAGGTGGGGAACGACGCGAGGAGAATTTCCCACGTTTGGTCATTCGTTGAGCCATTGTGGTGGTCTTGTGGCACCAGCATTGCTAATGACAGAATCTATTAATGGAAAGACGGAGCGAGAACGGTCTGATTGAAAATTGATGGTTCGCGTCGAGTGGATTTTATTTCTTACTTCTCTCTAATCACCGGGAAATCGTTCGGCGACTGCTATGGCCTGCCGGCGATGGTCTCGATGATGGCAGCCGCATCGATGGTGGCGAGAATGTCCGCCCTTCTCCCCTCTGGAAACTGTTTCGTCGACCACCCGGTACGTCCAAAACGATCGAATATCATTCCTCAGCCCTGAGCAGCGAGATGTTTGCGTCACCGGGAGAAGTTCGATGTACGGTGGTCAACCCGGGCCTTCGGTACGCACTGCCACGGCTCGGCGAAGTCATTCTACGACCAAAACCTATTCCTCCCCTCAGTGGAGCGCCTTGATTCTTGCTGAGATATATCCGAACCCGACACAGTAATGATTTAGATATCAAAAGGTCTATTACGATGTATCCCTGACACATGGTAACAACATATACCTGATTTCTCGAAGTCCGATATAGCTTCCGAGGAGGACGGCCGCGCTCCGGCCAATGCCCACTTGATCTCGATAGCTTTCGGCCAAATCAACACCGGGTGGCAATGCTGATCTCGGCAAAGCAGCTTTTGTTTGGCGAGAGAGGAAAAAGCGTCGAGAGGGAAGAAGAAAACTCGAGAGATTCCGACTCGAGTCGTCAGCGTGTTTCGAAACGAAGGAATTGATCCGAAGTCCACTTTATTGACAATAGTATTTATTCGGTTCATGTACACAGGTCAGGCAGCTTATTGGCTGCTGGCCACCCCGAAAGGAGCGAGGGGAAATGTGAGTAGAAAATAACGCTGCGTTCACCGTTCTCACATAGGAATGGTGACGGTTGTCGAAAATAAATAAAAGTATCCAAACACAAATGAAACTTGGCACAAATCAATCTCCAATATGGAATACGACCTCGATTCGAGAAAATCCTCGCCTCGTACGATGTCTACGAGACCAGAACCTCTCGGGTATCCCCCGAATCCCTCGTTTTCGCAGCACTATGGGCTGGGGTGCGCACAGCGACTTGCTGTCTTTTTCTCGTCAGACAAACGGCGTTGAGCTCCTGTTTCGTGGAAAGGCCTCGAGGCAATCGAGTTTCGCGAGAATGGAAAAAGTAGCCCGTGGAGGTCCGGAACAGGGAGGGTATCACATAGGGCACATGAGAGAGAAACAGCGGCGGAAGTTGTACTATACGCGAACAAACAGATGTGGCCATGAGGGATAGGGAGGAAAAAAACACCGAAAAAGAACAGGTCCGAAGGGAAGATGAAAAGAGTTTCGTCGCAATCTACGTCGCGTTCCACTGCCACTCAGCGGCTCCGAAAAGTCCGAAGCCGGACGCTTCCGTCAGGGGGTCTTTACTCACTACACACTGTCTGACGGTATTCGGACTCGCTGCAGAGAGGACAGGCGAGCACTTTCCAGCCAATTTGTTGCGAAATTCCTGTGTCGTCCCATCCGACCATCAAACAACCGAGCCGACTTCTCGCCGTCCTCCGATACACAGCTTCGTGCGTCGTCTTTTAGGCCTGAACTGTCTATCTAACTAGTAGCCCTTTCGAGCACTCGCCTGCCGACAGGAAACTGACGTTGTATTTATTCGTTTGCGGCACTTGCGAGAACACTCGCCCCGCCGCCTCCAGGGAGGACTCTGCGCCGCGTCGCGCTCTGGCACCGCGAATCCGAGAAAAAGACACTCAACATTCCGATTCCACGGCGGACACCACCCTTCTCCATGCTTGCATGGTGAGAGCTCTCTTCTGTGGGTCGAGAATCGAGTCTCTCGGGCAGAGGGAAGGCGCGTACTGTCGATTCCGCACGCTTGGTATAAAAGTTTATAATCTACTATTGACTTTTTTTGGTATTACATCTCAATGCCTTCCCGAGACACTTCCAACCTCGCGATGGCTTGAAACGGAATATCTAAACTTTCTCTCTATCTCTCTTACAAAAACTACACAACTACTTCAGATTTCAGTGACTGTAGGCGCGATTCGAATATGCCCCGGAATAGATCGAGGAATTTCCTGAGGAGCCCTTCCTGCGTCGACGCTGCATGATGCACCAGACCAACAAGAGAACCAGGAGCAGGAGGAGGATCCCGGCGAGTATGACGGCCAGAGCGAACTTCCGAGTCGATAAGCAGAAGTCGAAAGTCTCGTTGGTGGTTGCGGAAGACGATGCTGAAACAGAGCAAACACCGTATGAGATAAGTAATGCAAAAGTGATTCATGGAATCCCGAGGCAAGGACCCTCTCGTCCAGGGTCTCGCTCGCCGGCAAGAGCGGACGCGATTTAATTCGAGCACCGCCTTCTGATCCCGACACAGGAGAGCGACATCGGCTCAAGCCTTGTTCCTTCGCCGCAGAAGACGTGCAACACCTCACCGAATTTCGGCGAACGCTCGGGTCGTTTCGGCCGAGCCGTGACTCGTTCCATGAGATCAAGTTTGGAGTTATCTAGTGCCATTGCTCCCTATTGGATCAGAGCTCCACTGAATTGGATTGCCGACTCGCGTTGAGGTGACTTGCTCGCTTGTCCCCTTCTTGCTGCTCAGCTCCCGTGGTCGGTCAAAGAAGAGAATCAGCTGTCGCATCGCTTTTTTCTCGGCACCTTGGGGCACCTCACTAGAGGGGCCCTCGGCGAGGTTCGAGGGAAACGGGAAACCGAGGGGAGGGGGCAGTGATTCAGGGGGGGAATGGGACAGTCGAACTGGAGTGGAGAACACGCCTGTTTCAACCATCAGTTCCGCCACAGTTGGCCCTTTGTGGCCCTCCTTCACTAGCCGGGCGGTGAGACCGTTCGTTCTTCCCTTCCTTTGTCTGCGGATGTCGTGGTTCAGGCTCTGTTGGTTCCTCAACGGCGCCAGGGTCGGAGGCCGCGATATTTGGCTGGCTGGCTAGCTGGCTAGCAAGCCCGGGGGAAAGCGGCTAAGCAGGAGTGTCCTTCGAGCAAGTGCGAATGCCCATAATTTTCTTCTGCAATCGACGGCGAGGACGTTGCCGGTGCCATCATCTTCGGTGCCGAATCGAGCGGCAACTCATAAGGCGGCCTGTCCATAAAACACCTCCACGTCATGGAGAGGGACGGCTACTATTGTGGCGACGCGACGCTGTGTTTTCTGTATTCGGTCTGCTCCGCTTCTATCGGGACTTCTGCGCGAAACTGCATGGACGCAGCACCTCGGAGAAGCTCGACGAATCAGCTTGTCGCACACTGGCCAATCGCTAGCTAGGCGCCTTTATTCGGTTGTCCACCCGACTGCCTATTCGAGGAACTGCCTGCCTCGAGGGAGCAACACACAATGCATGCAAACCAAGACGCGAAGGGAAATAATTCATAAGTCGAACTCGCAAAGCTTGCTTTTCTGGTGACTTTCCCGCTCACTTTCACTTTTTCTCCTGCCGGCAGATCGAAGCATCCGAGATAATCTCCTGCTCGGCAGCTCTCTGCTGGCCTTCCCGCTTGCATGTTATACCGCTATACGTATCCTTCGCAACAAACTCTATTTTCTCCGAGTTTTCCTTGTCCCTCCTCTGCCGTCTCGGGCCCCGTCCCGAAGCTTCGTATGTTTAGCAAGCCATTGTCAACATAAGGCAGACCACGTATTATATACAATCGCCAAACAAACCACGCGGCAGCGCTATTCGCTGCAGAAACGTTTAATTCCATTAGTGCTCCCCCTGCTGCCGGTGCGGCTTTCGTACACTCGCCTCAACAAGCCGCCGCCCGACTCCGGTCACTCGCGCATGTTCTCGCTCAGGCGAGGATTCGAAAACCGGAAGTATCGGCATCGGAAGAGATAGCTCACGCCCCGGACGACCTCAATCGGATGAGGGCTGTGCTGATAACGCGATTGTATAGGGAATTATCCAGACCGGATGGTTCGGATGGCAATCCTACGAATCCTGGAGCAGCTCCAAATTACAATTAAACGCGATGAGTGGTAATGGTGAGACTCGGATATCTCCGAGGATCTGGAAGCTTGACACGGAAAAGGCGAACATGTCATGCTTCTCGACGGCCTCGAAAAGACCAGATGGCCGCCCGGAATGAGCCCAAACGGCTCGGTGGCGCCCTCTGGAAATTTTCCCGATAAGCCCTGCCAGTGCGGTGCGACTTTGTCTGTATAAGCCATCGCCGCAAGCTGCGAGGCGTTCGGACTTTCCGTACACGGCTTTTCGAACGCTGTTTCCGACGGGAATTCTTCCCTTCCGGAGGGCGAGCGACTCAACGATTATTATGCTCGGCCTGCAGATCTCGTTGAGGAGGAGAGGTCGTATTCGACGCAAATGTTCGTCGCTCGCTTCTCAGGATCTGTTCAACGATGACGTTGACGGCGGCAACAAACTTGGGCTGGGACTAGCGAGCCGTCCAAGCACTTAGTTGAGGAGGCTGCATATGCATGACTTGCCATCTGTGAGAGGGAAGACTGCCGCAAGGCGGTCGGCTGCTCCCATAGGCCAAGGTTACTGGACCACTATTGCTCAGCCGGCACGTTCCATTATGGCGTGCGCTCGCTCTCAAGCACAAGCGCGACTCAACCCACGACTCACTTAAGAGTTCCAGCGTCAGCAGCTAGCGGTGTTTTGCGTCAAAGACTTGCATTTATGTCTTTCTCCCACTGCCGACACCATCATCAGTGAAGCCGCTAGCGGTGCTGCGGAACGTCAGGCCAGTGGGTCATCATGCAAGCGGCGCGAAATTTCCCCGAAATATTCCTTTCTCGGGCCCGAGGGAGACATCCGCTCCAAGCGTACCCGGACAAACCGATGCGCGGCGCGTTCAAGCACGGGGTCGGCTGGTTTCCTGTTACGACGGTATCACTAGTTACGGTGGGCAGGGCTTGACCACGTCAATGGCCATGGCTCAATGGAAATATCGGGACGCTTCGGGTCAGTGAAAGACTTTTGGCTCGTGGCCAGATCACGTCTTTCCCGGAAAGCATTAGGCCTCTATGAGGCATGTCGTGCATTACGGCTAAGTATTCTTTTACATAAAAGAAGCGAGCGAGAGAGCGAGCCAGCGAGTGAGCTAGCTAGCTCGCGAGACGACTGACCAGCGAGGCCAGCGAAGCAACCGGAGTGCGAAAGCGTTCCGTCGACGACCGCGCATCCTCGCCTCGACAACGTGACGAACGGGTCCGCCGAATTCAGTCGGTCAATCAAAAAATTAAAAATGTGTGACTCCCCATCGGGCTAGGAAATGGAATTATATTGATCCCCATCGAGCCGACCCGAGCCCCTTGCGTTCTTCGTCGCTGAGATAAACGGATATAAGGAATATGGCGGCGATATTCCCGACTGAACATTATCTGCATACCTTCTCCTTCGACATCGGAGGGCTCATTGACGTAGAGGCCTGAAAAGACTTCGGTGCTTTTGTCTCCGATTTCGATAGCCTTGATCTCTTCGACATCCCTGACGCTCCGGGAAAGCGATCGTGGAACCCTTCCACGTCCGCGACGATTGGGTCGACTTCCATCGCAAGCAGGCGGCTGAAAGAGGCAGTGCGATTTCTGAATATTGACTCGTTCCGCAGGAGGTGTCATCTTCGGCACCAGAACGGAAAAGAATCAGATGAACTCACGATGTCGTCGCAGCCTCCGGACGGTTTGTGGCAGAGTCTCACATGGCACTGGTAGTAAACCGACTTCGTGTAGGGGAACTTGTGAGCGAGGAATGTGGACGTCGCTTTCGTTGCTGCCTCGCTGTACTCGAATCCAGGCATGATTTCGCGATCGATCGGGCACCTTGGTTTGAGGATTTATTTTCAATATTTGAAAGTAGGAAGGTTCAGAGTTTCGGGTACTCCATAAGCAGTCGAAACCCAGTCCGAAATTCGGAGCCCGCGAGCGTACCCTTCATTGTTGACTAGCGGCTGAGCTCCCCAGCTCAATCCATCCCGGACAACGCAGTTCGTGACTCGGATTCCGTAGGTTGCTGAGCGAGGAAACGAAAGTAAATACGGCTAGTGATAAACTGAACCGGAGTTCGCTCCGTCGCTCCTGGAGCTTTGACAAGCGAACTGTATCGTAAGTCTATCTATAGGAGGCTCGAGAAGAGAAAAGTCGTCCTGTCGAGCTCACAAAGTGACGAAAACATCGAATTTCCTCTGGATCTCTCCTTTCTCCTTTGTTGCGACGCCACAGCTGGGCTTTTTGATTCAATGGCAGGACAGATACAAAATAGCGACGTCCCGAAATCGAATTACACTCGACTCCGGTTTAGAAGCAAGACTCAGGGAAGAAGTATCTCGTCGACGGCCGATTTCGAAATTGAAATCATCCTGCTCCGTTCAGTGGCATTCTTCAAAAATAGCTTTCAATGACGACGGAGGCGGTAACGGCGCGGCGTCGGCGGCGTTATCTCCGTTAGTGCGTTCATCCGACATTGCCATTCATTCATTCGTCCTCTCATCCTCCACATGCCGCGTGGTGGAGGGGATTTCTTTCATTTCCTAATGCAACCCTCGCAGAACTCCCATACTTGATTCAGACTCTAGATGGGCCGAAATTCCGCATGCTCGTCCTTTCGTTGTATCGATCATCGGCCCGGCTCAATCGAATTTCAGTCCTTGAAGCTTGTTTCGTGCGACATCGACGCTCGTCGACAATAACGATTTCTTAGTAGGTCAGTCGAGGATCCAGACTGGTGGAGGGGAAGAAGCTTATTCACACTCACGATTAGGCTCGATGGCGATGGAAAGCGTCAAGGGATCGCCGATCTTGACATTTTCCGCGATGACTTCGCGCTCCGAATTCCCGACATAAATTTTCATATGGACATCCGGTCGAACCTTCTTATCGACTGACGTTTCCTCTAAAGTGCTGCAAACGGAAATCAATTTCTCAATAGCACCATTGAGAGCCGCGTTCGGAACGAATCCTCCTACGTGCGATCCAAGGGACGAGCATTCGATGTCGCTGCTGGTGAGGGTCGTCGTCTAGAGCCAAGGTGGCTCGGTGACACGTTTGGATTCTATCGACGAACGACGACGGGACTCGGCATCGATGATAGCCCCCGTCAACATAAGAGGCGCACGAAAATTCCACGGAAACTACAAGGACTACTCACGTATGGTTGTGGGTGCTCTGATATTTGCAGCGAACGTGGAAACCTTTGCCTTGGTTCGTTACGACTTTCTTGTGAGGCTCCACGATGACTGTGTTGAAATACTCGATGCCCCCACGGACATCTGTGCTCATCGTATTACAACTCCTCAGGGGTAATTTGTAAACCTTCGGGGAAATCGAAACCAATATTAAATATTCCTGACGATGATGAACCTCCTCGCGGAGAGAAAAATCCACGGCCGATGGGGTGTCGTCGTGCGTCCGATCCCGTGTAGTATCGGTGGCTTGCGACGTGTGTCGCGCTCAGTCAGACTAATTGAAAATCAATACTTGCTAAAAACGTCCGGACAGCGGCTTGAAGCGTTGTCAATCGAGTGAGCTAGCGCATGGCAGAGGGAAAAAAGCACTTACAAGATTCCCTCCGACATTGTTATACTGGGCCATGCAGGAAGAGTTCGTCGAGAGTCCTTTGGGATAGATCATTCCATTGAAGTTTCGCGCCCCTCGCAATTGGATTGTGATCGCGTCGGGGTCACATTCCACTTCGATGTCTTTCGTTTTTTGTGCAGGATCATGCGTTTTCAGGGCAGTTTCTACGAACAGCGAGGGCTCTTCGGTCACCAGGACGTTTTGGAAACAGCTTGCGGCAGTCACCTAAAATCGAAACTTCCATCAACTCGAGTTCGACCGACTGGTTCATTCAATTCTCTATGTGCAGACCATTCCCGTCGGAGTCGCATCTTGGGCAAGCAGATATAACACAAAACACTTTTCGATTCGGGAGATAAAGGAGAAGAACGAAACGCTCCAGGGCTCCAAGGAGAAAAAGCAGGTCAAAGACCATTGAAAACCAATACCTACAACGCGGAGGAAGGAGGAGGGAGAGACGAGAATTTCATTTAGAAACAATGTCTGAGTCGAACGTTCCGCTTCTCTCTTTTTTCTCCGAGAGAGCCCCGACCTCGCTTGGGACTCGACTTCGTGCAAGCGCAGAGTATTTTGCCATCGGAGCTACCGACGGGAAAGCGGTGGGTCAGATTTTTCTCAAGATGAATTTCGCGGATGTCTTCAGTAATAGGAATGTCGATCCTTCGAATTCGCATTCCAACGGGAGTAGGGGGCGTTGAAGGACAAATTCGAGACGTTGTGCCTCTTTGGCCTCGTCCCTTCCGGGATCCGATCGAGAAATTGTTGCGCGTACAGACTCGCATGCAGACGGCGAGGAGACGAGCAGCAAGTTGGGAATGGCGGCAAAAGAAAGTTGTGCCTATGGATGCTCCGTTGATTTGGCACGACACGCGGTGTGGCTTTTAAGGTCGGCCCGTCAGGCAGGTCTGTGATGTGAGATGGGACGTGACTTTGCCGACGGAGCTTCGGGAACAGTTAGAAAGAGGACGACAAATCGTTGTAGCAAGAAGACCTTTCCCAGCGATGCGGCGCGAAAGGCTCACGGCTTTCCTCTCGCGTGCCCTGGCCGGACTACCTCTTCGTTGGATCGACCTCGCAGGAAGAGGAACATCCCGAATGACCTAGACCATCGGAATCGGCGGCAGATTTCGACAAAGAGCTCGCTTCGAGTCGCAGTAAGCTCTGGAATCGTCTGAGCTCGTTACCAACTCCAGAAAATATTCGGATCGATTAGCAAAAGAATCCCATGATTCCGAATATGCGGGCGAATCATCTGGCGCTCTAGTCTCGGGCTCAGAAGAATGTCGCGTGGGTTCGAGAGCGAGTCCGTGCTCTCACGTCACCAGATAGAGTTGCGACGGTGATTTCTCGATTTTTCCGCGCTTTCCGAGGCGTGACCGTCAGATAAGGCCGAGGGTTCTCCCACGATTCGCTCTGCGCAAGTAAAGTCTCGACAACTGAGCGTTCCGTCCGGTCAGATCGCTGCCCCTTCACAAGGATGGCCCGCGTTCATAAATTAAACATCGCCCAGAGTCAGCTCCGGCCATTCATTTGCCATCGCGGCGGATGGGAACTTTCGATCGATGATAAGCTCATGGCCTGACGGTATTCGTTGAAATAATGGTTTCGGGCGCAAGGGCTGCCCGTCGGACCACTCAGGCAGCGACGCCGCGCCGCGTTGACCACTTTATTGCTGCGCTAAACATGTCCAGAAAGAGCTGATTTGGGAAGTTTGCGACCGAGCTTCTTGCGGACTCAGCGGGTGCCCCAGTGCCTTTTCGCTATGAGTTCCCGAACCACATCCTCGCGCGATTTTTTTAATCTTCAGCATTTACATGAGTGGACTTGGTCTTGACGATTCCAGCTGAGGGTCACGATTTGCGAGAATGATAAACTTTCCGGCTCATTCCTTACATGTTATGTGTAATCTTGCCCTCCATATTCGACACAAGCCGAATTGCCGATCTCCGATCAGGCTGTGCTCCACACCGAGGGGGCAAACTCGGGGTCGACATGCAATCAGGATTTTTATGCGCTAACGTCGTGTTATGGTCAGTCCATTGGGCCCTTTTCTCTCGAGAAATATTTCAGAGATTCTATTCGCATCTCCACGCCGGCTACCTGGGGAGCTCTCGAATTCCCTTAGCACCCAACCCCTGAACTATCCGATCTCCATGGGTCCGTACAGCACATGGATTCATTTAAGTGTTACAAACGTATGCCGATCGCCTCCGTAGCTGAGAATCGACTCGTATTGAACGTTCTAATTTGATTCGTATCTTCATATTTTGGCTCGACCTTGCGACGGGGCTTCTTCCGACTTGAATCCGAACACTGTTTCGACTCGAGTAGGAGAATGCTTCCACGGCGAAGGGGTAGAAGATCCTCGAGCTCGGAAGAGTCCGATGGTGCCCTTCCACTCCTTGGCACGAGCGTCATGCTGGAGAGCGGTACGATGGACAGGGAAATCCCAGAATCCCACGTTCCGCGCAGAGACTGAGGCTGAATATCGGATATTACAGGTGCCGCGTCTCGGACTGTGGAATCCCGGAGCCGAGCTCATTGCCGAGCAGGTGATCTCCATCCTGTCATAGAGCGTTTGAAGTTTTCAATCATGTGTCAATAGTCATGAGAATGTAATGGTTCGATCCTCATTGGAATCTAGCGCCAGCTGACTTCTCATTCAGTGGAGTTATGACTGTTGTGATGGCACTTCAAGAAGTATTCTTAGTCAAGGTCGGGACGAGGAGGCGTGGGCTGGGCCAAAACGACGACTTTTCGGAGTTTCTTTCGAACCATCGGACTTGCTCCCAGAAAATGGTCACGTCATCGAGTACCAGATGGAGCGTCGGCATTCGTCAGAGAAACGCCGATCCCCTCCGGCGAGCGCTCAAGGAGAGTGAGCTCATAGGTGGCCGCCACCAAGTGCTACAGAGGTTGATATGTATGAGCCGCTGCGCGGGCCCTCCGTCCACGATGGATTTCCACTAGAAAATTTCGAGATACACACTGAAGACCATCGCATTTTAATTCAGCCTCGACCTGAGCCTCCCTGCGACTCATTCCCCTGGAACCTTGAACTCCCGATAGAAAAGGTGACGGCTTCACATTTGACGTCCCGAAACAAGCGGGGGCAGCGTTGCGTGGCCTGATCATCGCGGCTCTATGATACATTAGGACTGAGGACCGAACCATAGTCCTGAGAGTTCCGCAAGGCCACCTCTTCTCCCGCTGGTGTGCTTTTCGTTTACCGGGGGTATCAACAAGTCTCGGAACTTCCGAATCGAGCGTTGAGCAACCGGGGAGACATCGCTTGTCGCGAGCGTACCCAACCTCTGCCAAACTTCCCTAGGCTGTCCGCGAGTTCTATGATATAGCTGCCTATCAAGCCCAATAAACGGGCTGCCTCCGCGGTCGATGCCGTCACCGATTATGATCGGCACTCCCGCATGCTTGGATAATCATCATCTTCGATGTACGCACGTTGACTTCTCCTTGGAGAATCACGGGAAGGGATCGAACACCGTGATAACACTCCCTCCGACTCGAATCAGCTCCGCGATTCCATGGCATGAGCAAAATCGAATTCACGGATGTGGGGAAAGCGCGCATCCTGAATCCGGACTGGATGAACTTCCGCGCCTCTCTCTGAGTCGGCCCTCGAGGAATCTGGTTGGGACACAAGCGCTCATCCTACACCTTGGCGCAGTCTCTCAATGCACCCGCTCGTGTCCGCTGTATGAGAACTCCGATTTGCTGTTATTTTTGTTTTCTGATAAACCCACGCACCTCACCGAAGTCTTCGTCGCTGACTACAGCCTTGAGGAGAAAACCCGCGCAAATTCCGCGCTTTCCGCGTAGCCACACAGACACTGAGTCAACGCTTCCCTGTAGAAGGTTGCGTGCTATGCGCTAGTATTCTACGCGAGTGAATGATTGGTGCCGATGGGTTCGAGAGAAGTTCTCAGGTTTCCGGGGAGCCCAAGCACAGCTCCAGCAGATGATGTCCGGGATTGTTGAAGACCCTTTCCGGAGGGCTTCGAGCCGGCGACTCGCTCAGTACTACGGAGTCCCCGATCTCGAGAGCTCAAAGCCAACATCTAGCGCGGAGACCTGATTTAGGAATTGAATTGGCGATAGAGGCTCGATCCGAGATCCTTGCCGCTTGCCACCGAATCTCGACGAATCCGGGAGTCCGACGCTCAAGGAAAGTTTCTCGAACTCGGGCAAACCGTAAAGATGCCTATCGTACTCGTAGTGGTACTCCGTGGTTCCGGGAATTTTCCCGAAATTCAGGCGTCGAGCTCGGGCACTTTCACGACACGATCCGTATCCGGAGGTACTCAGATAAACCTACCACTGTCAGTAACACCACCGGCCACATGGCTGCTGGTTCTTCGGAGTTGAGCGGGGTATCCTTTGTCGAGTATTGTTATGACACGGTTGCTCTGAGAACTAGACACTTGCACCCATCGACTTCGCACCGCCAACTGGTCCCTTGCCGACTCGCTTTGCTGTCCCGTAGACACCACATCCCACAGAAATCAGCCTCCACTCGCGCGGATCCAGCGGCTTCGATGTTCCCAACGGAGAGGGCTACTTTCCGTCGCTACGCTGCATGCAAGAACATACGAGCGGTCTTCGTAAAGCCTGTCGCTGCATCCCATGCAGCGCCGGCTTGCAAGGCAGGAAGAAGGAACAACCTTGGCAAGGCAGTGGCGAATTCTGTTTCAGAGCATGAGTTGGCACTTATCGATTTCGATCCTTCGATCGTTACGTCAAAGTCCACCGAGTCAAACGCAATGCCGAAGAGTATCGCCTCAACAGTCGCACAGACCCCTGATAGAGCTGTAACAGTGTGCCGAATGTGGTCCGTGACGTAGCACAGGCATGTCGCCGTGGTATTTTTGAGGGGTGGCGTACCGCTGACGATTTTCTGTTCGGTAAAGGTTCGCGGCGCTGAAAGCGGCAATGCATGGCCCTAGGTCACTTTTTATAGCTCCTCGGAACAGTAAAAGAGAGAACCACCTCTTCGACGGTATTTACTGGGTGTTCCTCGCGAATTCTTCCGCCTTCACTCGAGCTACCGCTAGTAATCTTGCGAAACTTTCGATCCAATTCCATCGCTGGAAGGGTCTGCTTCTAATTTCTCAACCACGGATTCCAGACTTCCGATGAAAGTTACTTCATGGGAGCATGGTGTCCGAGTGTAATTCCTATTCTGAACTCAGGATGAAGGCTCGACGCTGAAACAAGCGCTAAAATAATTTTTCCGATATCAAGCTTCGGATACTTGTCAAAGGAGATCTTCTGTGCTCCAATGCTAGCACGTCATCTTGTGGCACCTACGCGAAGTCAAGCGCAAGCCGGCGAAGGACCAGTACGGACACTTTCATGAAATTTTACTCATGAAGCTCATTGACGGGCTGAATGAGTCAGCGAATGCAGCTCAAGAGTCGCTTAGCAAGCGGGCGATCCCTTTATCGTGTCGAAACAGTTGCGAGTTCTCGAGGAGCTTTTCTTCCCAGAGTATAGCGCTTCTGGGTTCGTCTCGTATCTTCGGAAGCTTCGTCGGAGCTAATGGCGATCCGGAATCGTCTGAATCACCCAAGCACGAACCTAGCGGCACCCGATGACTCTTCCAACTCATCTGTATCAAACGGTTGATCCAGAAAATACAAATGAAGTGAATTAAACTATCATTGATTTTGTAGCAGAAGCTCACATTGGCTGACGCCGGTGATATCGTGGAACCACGAAAAGTTTCCGCAGAAAAAACGACCCGCTATGTGCCGCCAGAATACAGAGTTTCGAAGCGGTTCCGTCTCTTCCTCTCCCTTTCGACACCCACGGTCTCGATCCAGGTCGTACCGATGTATCAGACAAGACGAGCACTCCCGGACTCGGAGCCGGATCCCGCGACGCTCACCGGAAGTTCCAAGTATGAATCGCGTTACTCATTTGTGGGGCAATCGAATTGACGGTGGGCGCTCAATGACGGATTGTGCGGAATGGCCGACTCCGTCTCTAAGCGGGGCATTCCAGCCACGCGCTCCATCTACGATCGGAATGTGGACATGCATAAGAGGATATTCGTCCGAGATGGCAGGAGGAGTATTCTCAGCTTAATCTGACGTTTAAAATTACAGAGAAAAGCCGTTGGGTTTAAATAAAGAGACAAGGATCGCAGCTTTATGCACGACATACTGTGACAGCCATCACGACTTATTTCGTAGCGGTGGGTTTCTCTTTGGTTTTTGTTTTCTTTCTGTTTTTACAAGAATGCACTTGTGAGTGTCTCTGAGAGTTGAGTGTTCGAGAACCACACTCTCAACTGAGTGCCATGGGGAAGTGATCCTGACTGGCAGGCGAGCTAGAAGGTCTTTCGAATGCACCTTTCGAATGATCGAACGCCTCGTCCTCACGATCCAGAAAGGGCGAATCAGGAGCCAACAGTCGCTTCGGAAGCACTAACGATTGCGGCATAGGTGGAGAAGGGACCAGAGGGACTGTCACCGATGCAGATGAGAGATGCTGAAAACGAAAATAATCGGCGTGAGGAAGCTGCTCCATACCCATGGGGGAAGGAGAGGTTATTCGCACGACCGAGAATAGATACAGTCATAGTCATAGTCATAGTCATAGAGTATCATCAAAGCGAGAGGTTTAGAATACTTATACAGAATACAGAATAAACATACAGAATTCACAGGTTTGGGATGCGAGAGGTCTGGGTTTCGTCTGTTAGGTAAAGTTTGCTCACGAGTTTCTCCAGCTTTCTCTCTCGAATTCCGCCACTTCATCCGACGATTTTGGAACCAGATCTTCACCTGCAAAGTCGAGTTAATCTCAGCTCTCGATCGAGCATGATACAATCTCGGGAATTGAGGGCCAATCACTAACATCCGCCGATCCATGAAGATCTGCACCGGAACGAACAAAAAATTCCGACTCGGGATCCGCGAAGTCTCATTGTCGGTATCGATGAATTTTTGAGACTTGCCTGCGAATCCTTAAGTCCTAGCTTTTCGGCGAGCTTCCTCCGATCAGGCTTCGAAATATACTTTTGTATTTGAAACCGTCTTTCTAAACCTGAACGCTGAGCGTCAGAGAATACTGCGCGTCTCATCATTCCTCTTCGAGGTTTACCCCGAGACGCTGTCCAGGGAAACGCCGAAGGAGACATTACGAACGGATTCCCACCTGAAACATAACGGAATGTCGAATTTTCCGGATCTCCTCGTTACCGGTGTGGAGACGAGATAAGTTACATTCAATATCTCGATCGTATATGCTCTAAGCTTTCGTGAGGAGATCGATCGACCGATGATCTTGGGAAAGGATCGTGGCGACTTTGGGATAGGTCAATGTTCGGTTCAAAAGAGATATTCTCACCAGTGGTTGACACGGGACTCCGGAGACCTCCCGAGGAAGCACCTTGCATCATATTCGTCATGTAATAAATATTGTCGAAACAGGGCACGATATCTGGAAGAAAAGAGCGAACCTTTTGACTGCAATTCGGAGAAATCCATTCCCTAACCGTCTCGAAGGAGATTTCGAGTCGAATTGAGGGCGACAGAAAAAGCCGGAAAACCGAAGTCGCGAGGAAGACCGTGATCTCTCACTTAGCGTGCAGAGCTTCGGCAGATTCCCGTAGGTACCCACTCGTGAAAATATCCGGCCTGTTTGATCGATGTCAATGCCGAAGGAGAGCAATATTTCGCTGCGGTTTGGGTGAGGCAGCTGCCGAAAGCAATATCTCCGAACACACGGTTGCGAAGCTCACTGCGGTCGGTTGCTTGCTTGCTCGGCTAGCTCGCTGGCTGCCTATGAATGAGCTGCGGTTGTGGCGTCAACGAGCTTATGATGAGCTCAATGGGTTTTCGATACCACCCCATGTACGTAGGCTCTCCGCTACGGTCTGCTCGCTTCTTCCGAATTTCGAAGACTCTGCCGCCCTACTTACCGCCTTCCGTCGACTTTTCCCGTCGTCGTCTATGAAGTGAATCGCTTCTCGGAATCTCTACATCCGTCAATCCCTCGTCATCTCTTCGAAGTACCGCAATCTCGAGCCGCGCATCTGCGACGACTCCTTTTTTCTCCCGTTCAATTGTCTATCGCTCTTCTCATTCAGGCGCTCCAAAGGGTATCGTAAGTTTTTTGTGGGCGATGTCTGGAGTCAGCAAGCCACAGAATCAAATAGCACTTTAGGCCTCATCATATCTTCCTCAACAGGACCGAAAAAGCGGACGGAGGCGAATCTTGAGGGGGCCTAATCCTTTTCTGATTGTTCTGCTTTTAGAAACTTTGTGCGCCTCAAGCTAGTCGGTCCAGATTATTATAGATAGTTCGACAGCCTTCTGCCGAAAGTCCCCCGTTTTTGTAAGCTTCTGTTCGAGCCTCCCCGGAACGACCCAAAATATTGCGCAGATTTCTGCAAGCAATGTCGCGACGCCCGATCCCGGTCCGCCGCAGGTGCTCGTTGGCGGCAAAACGGGAGTTAGTTAGATCTCTCCCTCGTTTTTTCCGTAGTGCCCGCTCTTTGCACCCCTCGCCTGTGTGCTTGCTCCCCCATCCGGGTGGTTGAACGAGCTGCCAAAGCTAGCAGGAGCTCATTCTGCGGCTGCTGTGAGCTCGAAGAGTAGCACGGGGGAGGGAGGAGCAGAACGAGGAGATCTAGGGGCACGGGAAACCATTAACCTCTGCCGAGCTGTCAGAAGCAGCAGCAGAGCCAGGTTCACCATAAATAGTCGAGGAACCTTCTTTTGCTTTGAATCCGCGCCCGCGTGTCAGAGCGATGTTTTCGGAGAAGCAATTGAAGAATCGATCGGTCTTCTCCGAACACCCGGCTTCCGGAATTTCGGGACTCCGCCGCTGAGAACTCGACTCATATTGTGGCCATTCGGAAAAATGGAATATGCGAGCCTACGTACAGTGGCGAAGAGGATAAGAATGAGGAGCTGTTCCGTAGATCTCGGGAAAATTATTCATCGGAGCTGTTTAATCTCATATATGGAGTGAGGAGTGGAGTTATTCTTCCCGTTCCTCTGCCGCTCCCTCCGGCTGCCGTGGTCGCGTGATCGAATGATTTGACAATGGTGTACTAAAAAACACACTCAACCACCACCACAAGCCGCGAGTTGTGTCGAGTGAGTCAGGGAATAATTTACGTAAGTATTCGCTATTCAATCCGACATGCTACAGCTGTTGGCATCTGCTATAGACTCTTTGGTTTAGCGGTTGTGGTGCCAGACTCGGTGGTGATGGTGGAGGCCAGGTTACGTAAGTAGAGAGGCACGTCGTCACAGCTGGCGAAGAGCAGCCGGAGCAGGATCTGCATTTCTATGGGAGGACATCTTCTTTGAAAATCGCCCGCCCGCCTGCCCGCCAGCCAGCTCGCTCGCTCGCTTGATCACCGAGCGGGGGTGAGAGGGAGCGCATTGTCAACGCGAAGACCAATACGCATCTCCGAACCGAGAGCTGGAAAATCTTGGCCGCTTTTCCTCGTCCGCGCGAGATGAATCAATTGCGCCAGAATGTCTGGACCTCATATGTCACCGACGGAGTCAACAGCTGGAGGTTCCGGCCAGTGGAGAATGAAGCTCGGCTAGAACGGGATCCTCGAACCTCAGCCGAGGTGTCGTCCCAAAATCGACGTAAAATTCGGAAAGCGTTCTCGGAGGAGGGACCGAAGTCTGATTTTATAGTTTTCCCGGAAAATCGTTCGAGGGGATTGTACAAATATTCTCGGAACCGGAGCCGTCCCGTGCAGGGCCCGTTTCCAGCAGTTGGGGATCGGCCCGGCGGCAAAGACTCGTAGCGAATTCAGAACCGATTGGCTGCCTTATCGAGTCCAGTGTTCCGCGGGCGCGGTCGGATTCAGGCAAGGTGGTTGTGGAGCTTGGGGGCGAGCGAGATCAGAAGCCGCTCAGAGAGCAGCGAGCGGAAAGCTCGCGAGCCTCCGTGGTGTAGAAAGGTAGAAGAGGAGAGCGCTTGCTCGCTCGCTCGCTTGTATATTAAGCACTTCAGTCACAGCTGTGGCGAGTTAATGACTTGCGGAGCTGATAGCGAGCGAGCAAGTCGCGTTCGTTATGTGGCGTTATGAGCTGCATGCTTGTCTGCGGCGCTGGAGGAGGCTACCCGCTTCAGCTGCCTCTTTCCAGACTCAAATTTTGCGGAGCTTCCCCCAGCCTGTCAAAAGTAGGTACTTCTCGAGCTCTGCGTCGACCAATAGGCCGAGCGAATAATTTTCCTTCCACGGAGAGTTCTTGACAGGAAGCAGAGTCAACTTTGTCCCTCGAACATTCTCCGGAATTTGTCGCAGTAGAAGAATTATCATCCGCCGAGTTACTTATTGCCAGTGAGCGCAAGGCCTCATTGTCGGCGTTTCTGAGGCCACTCAGCGAACGCTCCGAATAAAAGAAAATCTCATCAAATCTGTGTTGTCACAAGGCGAATGACTTTCGGATGAGTTCTACCGAAGAAGAAAGCCTAGCGGCGACGATGACGTTAAGCGCTGCTTGTTGCCGTAAGAAAAATCACTTTGTTCCTCTTATAAACGTTTTGACCGAGGGCGACAGGATGGCGCCTCCGTTCCATTCCTCTCTTCTGTGCTCTTTTGGGGCCGGTCGTTCTCGACCGACGTTGGAGCTCGTACGAGTTGGTGGAATGAATCCTCGCGGGAATTTTCCGTCCCCCAGATCATCTCGAAAGGTCCGAAGCAGATATTCCGTCTGCTTCTGCTTGCCGGAGTTGGAGTTGCTGATCCGGAAAGATCCGAACCAGGAGAGTCGGATCCTGCTTCCTCGAACACTGTTGAGCTCGTAGCGAAATCACCACTCGCTTCAGACCACGGACGCCAGAGAAGAACAAATGTGTTGGAAGCGAAAAACCAGCCATAAATGTAGGTACTACCGAGCGAATTTCGTCTACACTCTTCACCTACAAACTAGCGTATCAGCTGTTTCCCTCCGTGGCGAGATTGTTTTATTGCTAATCTCTTATTGCCTACGGAGCGGATCTGACGCATTTGCTGAGCTCCTATAAAGCACCTACAAAGCCTCTACAATTGCCTGCAACAGCCCTCAGCGATTGTTCTCTAGCTGGCGGTCGAGCTCCGCCTACGTGCCATGAATTTCTCTAATGGGCTCTGGTCGATTCCGCCATTCAATCAATCCGAAATCCGGAACCTTCTCGCCACAATTGAAATAATTATCGCTGACGACATGGGGTTCGGATGGTCCGAGAAAGCACAGCTTGGCGTCGGTTCGTAGGACGAATAGATGTGTCGATGGGATTCTTTGTTCCCGATACGAATTGATCGCCATCCACACTTCGGATAATATCGTTTTTCTTTTTCTCTCGTCGCTTCTCGAATCCGATACGGTCGCAGTCTCAAACAAAGGATTTGGAATGCGAAAGCTTATCCTCTATTTTGAAGCGATGGTGATGGCAATCATCACTAAGATCGCTTTCGCCGGACGGCGGATCGAAGCGCCGCGCCGCCGGTGTCGACGGCGAGGCTGGAACGGCAATACATTGGAAACATCTATCCCTCTAGCTAAGTATGTCTGGCTAGCGAGCCGGTCGTATCGTTGGCTGGCTCATGTCATTCGATATTCTGACGCTGGTGTGGTTGCCACAGAAAGGGGTAAAGTGGTGGCGCCATCGAGACGCCTATGTTGAAAGAAGACCACCGGAGGAGTCCAGTTTGATGCTTTTGCTTCTGCGGCGATCTAGAGTGATTTGAGAATTTCACATGGCTACATCGAATGCCGTTTTTAATGGAGTACTCGGTCCGTACATCATCTTTATCATGGCTCGAATTCCTGAAAGTCACGGAATCGGAACACAGGACGGTGGCGGAGCGAACTCAGACGAGGTATCATCGATCCCAAATTAAGGAAGATGAGAATGAAGCGGAAGGATCGTTGGAGTCATGGATCTGGATAACAGGATCTAATCGAGAAATTTGAAATTCTCTCGACGGATCAATCTCGGGATCATCATCTTTTGTCATAAATCCGACCTGAGGCGACGTCCGGAGTCTCTGCCAACCCATGAAGGTCCATTGTGACCCAAACACGAATCAGCGGGACTCGACTACTGTAATTGTTTCAGTGACAAATCGTTTTACACCGCTCTGCTGCTGGAGTTGTGCGGAGCTATCGACGACTTGTTCTTCGTCACTCTGTTTGAGGTTCTCTATCAAATCGAATCATTCCTTGCTCCATTCTTTCCCTCCTATTGCTCATTCGTATGGCGTACCACGGTCTCCGTCGACAACAGCTGTTACCCCGCCCCACGTCTTGTCTCATTCGCGCTCCCTCTGCTCATGCGTCGCAGCCAACCCGTGTGCCTGCCCGCAACCTCACAGCGCTTCTCCCAATCATTTCTTGCCCGGTAGCCGTTTCCCCCTTGCTTCTATGAATGTTGCTCTTTCGACTCGGGACTTTCAAGTTCCCCTTTAGACATCTGGAGCGAAT